ATGTAGCGCCATTTTATAGGGTCTAATAAAGATTTATATGATTTATTCGTTTACGACAATGATAATACACTTGCCCACAGCGCTGACTAAGAAGCTAGTTACAATCAAATGAGAATCCCTAATGAGCCACACAAGAAAAGTTTGGGTTCCAAGAACTGAATAGAGAGCGTAGGAGAAACAGACGAGAAATAGGACAATAATAGCACGATTCCATTAAAGACACTGGAAAAAATAAATGCGAGATTTATGCTCAGAATTACAGGGACAGAGTCTGTGATGGTGGAGACAAAGTAAGTCGAGTGAAGCCGCGTAGCATAGATTGACCTTGAACACTATCGCGCATCCACACTAAGTTAGAGCATTCTCGCTCACTTCCGTTGTTTCTAGTAGTTCTTGGAAGGAAAGTGTGTAGAGTGTGGTCGCCTCACCACATCACGGAGGTTTCATCATTGACTATGGCCTGTGCAACTTTTTTTATGAAAGGCAACATTCTCCAGGTCCGGCAACCAGATTATTTCCCTGATCTCGTCCCTTTCAACTTCCTCTTTCCAAAATTCAAATACCACGAAAGGAAGAAGATTTCAAGACACCGAGGAAATCCAAGAGAATGTGACGGAGCAATTGCTCGTTATCCTCAAAAAGAAGTTCCATCAATGCTTCTATCGATGGAAACGACGCTGGATAAAGTGTTTGGATTCAGTAAGAACCTACTTCGAAGGAGACTAAATGCCGAATTAATATAGTTTGTAGTTTTCTTTTTATAACACCAGTTCGGAAACCTTTTGATCAGACCCCGTATATCAGGAAGAGCAATACAAATGCAAAAGGATTTATACCTATGCTTTATAGATCATGCAAAATCGTTTAATGAAATCACAAAGAACTGTGTGAACTGCTAGACAGGTTTGAATCAAGACGCTTGCAATCGGATAGAAAATGGGTACAGTAAATTCATAAACATATAAAGGAGAGAAAGACAAAGATGTGTCTTTTCAGTGGACTTAATCAAACTTTACAAGTGTAAGGGTGGCGATCCTGGTAGAATTAGAACTCCTACCAGGATTCATTATTGGCTACATTCTTAACAACGTAAAATATACATATGGCACAGTGTTGACAGAAGACACGGAAAGGAAATTTCAGGTATTCCTACAGAAGGTATTGAAGGAAAGCGAGAAGAAAGGACTAAATATCAATTGTCAGAAAATAGAAAACAGAAAACAATGGATGATTGTCAGGAAAAAGGACCAAGATGCAAACTACGAACTGAAAACATCAAAATCAAGCAAGTACCAAAATAAAAAATTATTTTAGAGGAAGAAGAATTTGAAGAATAATTAGAAGAAGAAGAAGAAGAATTTGAAAAAGGAGAAGAATTTGAAGAAGAAGAATTTGAAGGGTTTGATGAAGAATTTGAAGAAGAATTTGAAAAAAAAGAAGAATTTGAAGAATCTGAAGAATCTGAAGAAGAAGAAGAAGAAGAAGAAGAAGAAGAAGAGTGTTTTTGCCTTTTAGTACAGGACGGAAAATGCGACGCTGAAACCGGGAAACGCAAAGCCAAAGATGCCTTCCATAAACTAAGCAAAGTATTAAGAAACAGAAAAATTTCGTCAGAAACAAAGAATACTGGACTGTTATGTAATATGGGTCCTCCTATACGGCAGTGAATGCTGGACAATCTCTCCTCATAGTTGAATAGGTGGCGTAAGGCAACAGAAATATGGTTCTACTGAGAATCTTATTGACTGAACATGTGAGCAGAGACGAAGTCTTAGTGAAAATGGAAACAGAAGGACAATTAATCATAGAATCAGAAAGAGACAGCTGAAATGTTTAGAGCACATAATGAGGAAAGAGGGCTTAGAAAATGTAACATTCACATGGAATACTGAAGGCATGAGAGACAGAGGAAAACAGTATATAACCTACCTAATGATCTTGTGTAAATGGTTGGCAGAACATGGATTAGTAGAAATAATAAAAAAAAGAGCAACAAAGCACAGAAAGTGGTGGAGAGCCATGATCTTCAGCGTCCTGAAGGGACACGGCACATTGAAGAAGTTTCATTTAATCAATGAACTCCATTAAACACAAATCATTCAAAGAATATTTTTTAAATTTGCCTCCTTTGACTACCATGTCTAGTTGATCATAAAGAAAGAATTTTGATTCTTAAATCATTGAACAGTATTCACACCCATTAACATAAAAAGCAATGCGTTATCAAACTAGTCTAACTACTTAGTAAATAGAGTTTACATTGTTATGGTAACATAGCAATAGACAATTTCGTTAGTCTCCCAGTTCATACTTCACCCGAGTATTTTGAATACGCGTTGAGGATTATTCCTTGTTTCCTGTTTAGGATTGGGTTTCAGATTACTTCTAAAGTCTGCTTCAGTTTTATATTTCTAACCTTTCCGTCTGAACTCTTGAATAGTATTCTGTTTTCTTCTCAACGGGAGTAGCTATGTTCGTCTATCGCCCGGTTCACATCCCTCCTTGGTATTTTGAACAGGATTAGAGGTTTATCTCTTGTTTCTAGTTTAGGAATGGGTTTCCGATTCCTTGTAAAGTCTTCTCATTCTCTTTCATTTCCAATAGCCCCTTGCGTCATAGTGGCATTATCACCTTACTCGAGATGTATTAATGAGAAAATAATGGAAACATGTTCGCTTCGCCTGAGATAAAAAAAAAAAAACATGTTTTATTTTTTCCGTATGTAATGTCCTATATTTGGGACTCATCAGCAGTGCGCATCCACTACCGAGAATTGAAACCCTGACAATTTCGTTAGTCACCCAGTTCAAACTGAAGCAGACTTTAGTAGTAATCTGAAACCCAATCCTAAACAGGAAACAAGGAATAATCCTCAACGCGTGTTCAAAATACTCGGGTGAAGTATGAACTGGGCGACTAACGAAATTGTCAGGGTTTCAATTCTCGGTAGTGGATGCACTGCTGATATATATATATATATATATATATATATATATATATATATATAAATAAATGGTACTCGTTTGGAAAAACCTCGCATAGCTCAACTTGCAGTAGAACAAATCGGTACCCGAGGAAAAATGGGGGATAAAAAAAGAAAGAACCAAGAAAATTAAAAGAAGGCGAAAACCATCGTCCAGTGTTTAAGCTCCAAATCCAAAAAAAACAACCCAAAACGAGTAAAAAGACAATTACGTTTAGAGTTCAATACACTAAGTAGAGCAAAACCTATGATAATCCTAAGGAGCAAGGCAAACCTACCTAGGTTTCACCTAAACGGATCTTCAAGTCATGTATCGAAATATACTGGACAAAAGTTTGCCATATTGCTTAAAAATAAAGTCCTTATGATAAATAAACTTTTACTTATTGTTGAAAAGCTCCATCGAGATTTTTAACGAAGTAAATTAAAAGTTTATGCAAATTATTAACATCGTTCCTTAACTTTTGTCTAGTAGCTTATTTCCTTTGTTCCATTTAATCTTTATTTAAAAAAAACTATTATGTAAATTTTTGTAACTTTGTATATTATTTATGCATTACACCCTAATCTTTATTCGGTAAAAATTTCATTGCTAATCATGCATTATTTTTTAAATAATACACATATTTATGTCTTTGTTGTTTCCGTTCCTTATATTATGGCCGCTACTGTACTTATAGTGATTTGTAGTTGCTTAGATGTAGCAAAAGACCGTAAATATGGAGGTCCAAGTGAGAATCGAACTCACTAGTCAGCCGTAATTGACCTAGCGAGATCAGCTTCCTAACGATTACATCAGTCCAAAGCACAATCAGAAATTATTATAATACTGCCGTAACTCGACAGTTTCATCTTCTTCCAGATATCTGGCAGACATTGTTGGGTGCTTCCCTTTCAGAGAGCTAAACAACCCAACGTGCGCGGGGCAATGCAGTTAGAAGATTGACGAATCGACTATCAGCTAGATTGAAGAGGGAGCGCTCCCCAACACCAAGAAGCATGGACCAGAAGTGATTTAGACCCAAGAGGCCGTGGGTTGAAGAATAGAAGGGCATTATAATGCAGCAGCGTGACCAACGATACTGTCACAGCAGTAGTATTATAAAAAGTAAATTTGCCAGATGAATGAATAAAAGAAATATTAAAGAAAGAAGGAAAATAGACAGAAAGCAAATCTACCAGAGTGAGGGAGAGAGAGAGAGAAAGAAAGAAAGACAGGGAGAGGAAGAGAGAGGGGGAGAGAGAAAGAGAGAAGGAGAGAAAGAGAGAGGGAGAGAAAGAGAGGGAGAGAAAGAGAGAAGAAGAGAGAGAAAGAGAGAGGCAGAGAAAGAGAGAGAAAGAGTGGGAGAGAAAGAGAGAGGCAGAGAAGGAGAGAGAGAAAGAGAGAGGCAGAGAAAGAGAGAGAGGGAGAGAGAAAGAGAAAGAGAGAGAGGGAGAGAGAAAGAGAGGGAGAGAAAGAGAGAGGGAGAGAGAGGGAGAGAAAGAGAGAAGGAGAGAAAGAGAGAAAGAGAGAGAGGCAGAGAAAGAGAGAGAGAGAGAAAGAGAGGGAGAGAAAGAGAGAGGGAGGGGGGAAGAGAGAGGGAGAGAAAGAGAGAAGGAGAGAGAGAGAAAGAAGAGAGAGGGAGAGAAAGAAGAAAAAGTAAAAGAAAGAAAAGAATAAATGTGCGAGAAAGAAATCAAAAAGTAAGAAAGAAAAATTATTTTCAATGTCAATCGCCATCTTTTGTCTTCCTGAAGGTCGTTCTTTTATTGTCCTTTCTGCTCACTAAAGTCTTCTCATTCCCTTTTAGTCTCAGTAATGACGGGAGTTTTAGTTGCATTATTGCCTCTGCTCGAAGAGAAATGATTTCAAAGATTATAAATCTGCAGAGAAGAGAAATGGGACTAAAAAAATGAAAGAGAGACAGAAATGAAAGAATAAAGGATGAAAAAGAAAGAAAATGAAGAATAAATCGACCATAGCTAAAAGAAAGAAAGAAAAATAGAAGTATGAAAAGAGAAATGAAGAAATAAACATTTAGAAAGAAAGAAAGAAAGAAAGAAAGAAAGAAAGAAAGAAAGAAAGAAAGAGGCAAACAGACATTTGCAAAGAAAGAAAGAAAGAAAGAAAGAAAGAAAGAAAGAACTCTGAGAAGAGCAATAAAGAAGAAATTAACATTTGGAAAGAAAGAAAGAAACAAACAAACAGACATTTAGAAAGAAAGAAAGAAAGAAAGAAAGAAACAGGCAAACATTTGCAAAGAAAGAAAGGAAGAACGAAAGAAAGAAATTTAATAAAGAAAAGAAAGAAAGAAAGAAAGGAAAAAGAAACAGGCAAACATTTGCAAAGAAAGAAAGGAAGAACGAAAGAAAGAAAGAACGAAAGAAAGAAAGAAAGAAAAAAGAAAGAAAGAAAGAAACAGGCAAACATTTGCAAAGAAAGAAAGGAAGAACGAAAGAAAGAAAGAAAGAATAAAGAAAGAAAGAAAGAAAGAACTAAATGAGAAATAAAGAAGAAATTAACATTTGAAAAGAAACAAAAAGAAAGAAAGAATAAAGAAAAATTAAGAAAGAAAGAAACATTTGAAAACAAAGAAAGAAAGAATAAAAAAAGAAACAAACAAACAAACATTTGGAAAGAAAGAAAGAAAGAAAGAAAGAAAGTAAATCTATGAGAGGAAATAAATGTGAGGAAGAAGAGAAAGAAATAAAGCATAAATCATTGAAAAAGGAGAAGGGCGAAGATCCTAATAAACATTACAGTGCTGTTGGTCTATTTATTCATTCAGCTTTCATTTTTATTTGGCTGTTATTGTTGACGGCGTCAATTATTGAGAAACAGGCCGGGGCCAAGCGCCACCTCAAGTGCACGTATTCTTTGTCTGTGTTTTTCCACCTGCTATCCAAAGATGGCTGCCTTGTGAACAGGGTCACCTCGCTAACATTTTATTTAAAGCGAGCTAAATTGCAACAAAAATAATCCAAAAAGCCAACGGGTGCAGTGTAATGGGCAATATTTCTGGCTGTGGGAGGGAGCCAAGAAAAGGGCAAAACTGGAAGGGTTGGTGACAAAGGCGTTTTAAGCAAACGGGGCCTGTGGCAAGATGGTGAAGGACTCTCGATGGAAAAAAAATAAATAAAAATAAAATTTGACTTTGTGGTCAGTAGCTGTCAGTCAGAAAAGAAAAAATGCATGTGACCTACCTACCAGACTACCACCTCTAAAACCACAGACCTCAGTAGTGGTACCCAAAAATTTAACGCTCATTGTTTGGAGTGAAGTTTCATTACCGAATTGTCGCCATATTGCTCAATCTAACTTGGTCTTATTCACCGACTCAAAAGCACTTCGCGATTCTTTTCGCAACAACATTCATAGCTAGTTTTAACCCGTGAAAATTTCGCGGTTTTTCCGATTGGAAATTTCTGATGTATCTTGATTTTTTAGTTAAGGGTTGAATAAGCTCAATGGAGAATTCTACGACAATAAAATATCCGTAGAAATTCCCTTATCGTATCGTTAAATATTTGAGCTTAACAACTTTAACAAAATATTGCAATAACAATCATAAATATGAATGCTGGTCGTTATTTTAAGTAAGGGGGTACAAATGAAAATATTTGAAACTTCAAACTTTTTCCATTTCATTGAAATAGACGTTAAACATTTCTACCTTTCTTCCTTGCTTTCATTTCCTCTCTAAATCCAAGCGTCATTGATGCGTTGTGTCGTCACATGCGATCAAAACGGAATAGTCCATTATTTACGAGGTGTCGGCAGGAGAGTTTAAACACTTTTATCTTCCTTTCTTTTTTCATTGAAACTAAGTAGCGTCTCTGATATGTCTTGTCCTTCGACGTGATCGAAACGGAATAGACAATTATTTAGGAGCTATTGGTAGGGTGTAACGAAGGAAGGAAATAAACACAATTATTACTTATAAGATTATATTATTTTTGGCATCATATGCACCAGTAAGCTGCAATTTGTCATGAAATTTTCAATTTCATGCCTGAGGAAACCTTATCGTCCCCAGGCATGAAATTGAAAATTTCATGACAAATTGCAGCTTGCTGGTGCATATGATGCCAAAAATAAATAAATATATGTAGTTATCCACAGACAGACTGTTTCCCAGCTCATCAATATGGCCGGACATCCGATTGCCTTAAGCCGGGATCGAAACCGAACTAATTTGGTATCACTCGGAGATTTTACACCTAAACCATTCGCAGGGACGAAGGTAAATTTATTTATTTTTAGACAAACACTCCAGTGACCGGAGAACTAGATTCGTCTTAACGAAGAGTCTTGCATCAGCAGCAGTAATAGCCACAAATTACAAATTCACTTTTCTCCCCGAAGAACTCAACCAAAAATAATTTTTTTCTGGAGTAGATATATATATATATATATATATATATATATATATATATATATATATATATATATATATATATATATATGATTCCAACGCTACATAAGAGTTCTCATGTTTCAAACTAGAGCCGAAAAAACTTCAATATAATTATTGGAATTAAATTGAATTAAAAGTACCAAGCTCTGTTCCATCTCCAAGCGAATTTCTATATACTTTTACACACACACACACACACACACACACACACACACATACATATATATATATATATATATATATATATATATATATATATATATATATATATATATGGGTGTAACAGCAAAATATACAAATCGTGTAACAGAATAATTATTGATCCTACAAAAAATACTTAAAAATGAAATCGTACATGAAACGTGTGAGGTATATTGTTACTCAGGGACAAAAAGTTAGAAGTTTAGAGAGGGCGAAGAACATATTGTATAAGTTGGAAAATGAAATAATATATATATATATATATATATATATATATATATATATATATATATGAATTTTATTTCAATCCTTCATGGGCTTTGGATCCTTACCTATGATTAATTAGTGATGAAGATGTCATTTTCGTTTAGGATCGATTTCATCACGATTCTTCTGTTAAGCTTGGAGAGTAATTATACATTCTTATTGCTCAAAACAGATTTCAATAATGTTATAAAAACCTCAGAGAATTCCAGCAAGATATCTTTAATCATTTGTATGAGACAACGGTTGAAAGCTTAATCTAACAATTGGACAATTTTGCTGTTACACCCGGTATGTATACTTACGAAATTTCTTATCTACTCAGGTTCTTACCCAAACGTAATCAAAGAAATTTCTAAAGAAGAGTCTGTGATGAGTCTTGCTTAATCGATAAATCTTCTTCGTGGCCGAGTCGGTTAGAGCACATCGGATCTAACGACAGTACCTTCTGCCCAAAAAATAAGCAAAGTACATGGTGACCCAAAAAAATGGGAACTTTTTAACAATCCAATAAAACCAAGAGCGGTGGAAGAAAAATATTTTATTCATAGTAATTGAAACCTTAAAACATGCCATTTAAGAAACAATGATGGAATTTTCATTTTTTAAAAATGACGTCCTGTAGATGGCGTCCTCTTGCTCGAATGCATTCTTGAAATCTTCTGTTGAGATTCCTCATTGACTGCTATAACATCTCAGGTGGGATACTGTGAATTTCATCTTGAATTCTAAATGGCGAAATGTTTACTTGCTCAAGGTCACTGTCTCGTATTGTTGCCACTTGCTCATGACTGGCAATACGCACTTCAAAAATTCCCGTTTTTTGCGGTCACCCTATATTAAGCGATATGCAAGCGTCATTACAAACAAATAAGAGTTATGAACTACTGTGTTATATCTAGTCCCCTAAATGGCAGTGAATGTTGAAGAATTTCCAGACAAGGGGAAAAGAAACTGGAGGCGATAAAATTCCGGTTGAATACGAAGAATATCATAAGCTAAACATGTGAACAATGAGGAAGTTTTTTAAAAAGTAGAAATAACAAACAAAACGTTGCAAAGGATAAAAAAACAATAATCGAGCTTTCAATTTGACCGCTTACCACTGCTTCGCGTAAGACGGCCGCATCGACGGCCACCACACAGGTAACAGTCTGCGCGCACGAGGAGCGTTGAATCGCGCGGAGAGAGTCGTCCTGCAGTCGAATACTTAGAGGGTTCCATTTGAGCGCTTAACGTGGGTTATCGACGTCCGCGGCAGCAACGACCACCACACGCTCGCTGAGGGCAGCCTGTGCGCACGAGGAGCGTTGAATCGCGCGGAGACAGTCGTCCTGCGGTCGAATACTTAGAGCGTTCCATTTGAGCGCATACCGTGGGTTACCGACGTCCGCGGCGGCGACGACCACCACACGCTCGCTGAGGGCAGCCTGTACGCACGAGGAGCGTTGAACCGCGCGGAGACAGTCGTCCTGCAGTCGAATACTTAGAGGGTTCCATTTGAGCGCATACCTGTTACCGACGTCCGCGGCGGCGACGACCACCACACGCTCGCTGAGGGCAGCCTGTGCGCACGAGGAGCGTTGAATCGCGCGGAGACAGTCGTCCTTCAGTCGAATACTTAGAGCGTTCCACTTGAGCGCTTAACGTGGGTTACCGACGTCCGCGGCGGCGACGACCACCACACGCTCGCTGAGGTCAGCCTGTGCGCACGAGGAGCGTTGAATCGCGCGAAGACAGTCGTCCTGCAGTCGAATACTTAGAGGGTTCCATTTGAGCGCTCACCGTGGCCACGCGTCCCGCGTCCACGGCGACGACCACCACTACACCCTCGCTGAGGACAGCCTGTGTGCACGAGGAGCACATCTAATTGTACCACATCTAAACAAAGCTTAGACAATTGCTATATATTCGGATCAAAGATCCGCGTCTAGGCGTGGTGTAATGGTTAGCAAGATCGTCTCGCTAAAACAGTTGCGACTGGAGAGTGAGTTCGATCCTTACGGTGTCTTATACTTTCGGCTTTGTGGCACATCTAAGCTTCAGTATTCCGATCATGGTTTGTAATCTTAAATGTAGCGCGATTTTCTCCATCTCTTTTTAGCCATCTGTCATATTTTCTGTATTTTACTTTGCATAAATGATCTGCCTGAGAGTACACGCCAATCATTTGTGAAAATATATGCTGATAATACAACGGTATATGAGTGCCCCTCCGAAACTCTAGATGACTAGAGAGTGAATATAATGAACACGATTGGAATTCGAACTCGGCTCTCCGATTCCTTAATCCTAGCTGCTAACCATTTCTCCATCGTACCTCCAACATCTTATTATGTCATTATTTTTTCTTCCAATGAGCTATCCATTTTAGTTCTTGCCGCTGCTGAAAGTCTTCAAGTGATGTGGTTTCTTTTATTTGATACAGGTCTTTGTAGCGCCAATCCACAAGAGTGAGAAAGAGGAAAAGAAAGAGACAAAAACAAAGATAAACAGTTATAGAAAAAAGGAGAGAAACTGATAGATAGATAGATAGATAGATAGATAGATAGATAGATAGATAGATAGATAGATAGATAGATCGAGAAAGAGAAGGAGATAGAAAGAGATAAGTAAAGAAACAGAAAGAAAGAAACAAAGAAAGACAGAAAGAGAAAAACAAAGAAAATAGATAGAAATGAGAAAGACAGTAGGTCTAATGAGGACCATCTTTCTTTGCTGAAACCTAGAGGTTTCATCCACTCAAAAGCCATGTTTAACCATTGATCTTAGAAAATAGTTGCATAAAACTGGCAGTTCAGATATTTCCGAACGTGTCTGGCGCCATACTTGACATCTGTATAAACATCTCGATCTGACTAGTGACTCGAGTTAAAGAGAGATGACGTATATACTATCATGCGACTATTAAAGACCTTATTTTGAAGTTAATTTTAAGAGGGTCACATAAATTAGTTTTTTTTTTCTGCTGATTTAATTTCGTTAATTCAACATGATGTTAAATCTTTCTTAATTAGTATCTTTCTTTGATAAGTGTAACAAAAATATTTAGATAAAAATCAGTTCATCCGTGGATTATTTTCTTTCTTAAAAGCATAATTTTAAGGGGTCGACTCATACACAAGATATAAAATTAACGTATGTACTGGCTACGCCGTTGACCAAACTATATATCCATTTTCTGTATTTAAAAAGTACAACTGTATTTAAAATAAACATGATTTTGATAAAACTGATGTTTTACATAACTGTATCCAAGAATAATGCATGCAATATTTGCATATTAGTATCGTATTATAAAATACAAAGATAGCGAATATGCATCTTTTCCATTGTTTACGTTTATAGTAATTCTCCAAGCGTAGCTTCGATGTAGCACAAGGCAGAAAGTATGGAGTACCCAATGAGGATCGAACTCACTACTCGGTCGTAATTGTTCTAGCGATATGAAATATAAAGAAATGGTGATTTTCTAAGAGTAGTTTAGGTGTGGCACAAGGCAGAAAGTATGGAGCACCCAGTGAGGATCGAACTCACTACTCCGTCGTAATTGTTTTAGCGAGAGAAGCTTGTTAACCATTACACCACCTCGAGGTACCTTTGTTTACGTTTATAAGATATTTATCTGTTTCTCATTCGGTTGTTTACGGTTGTCGCGTTTACGCAACGAAAATAGCGTTACTATCGATACTTTTAACATTCTCTTTTACTTTTTTAACTTACTTAACTAGAAGATGGTATAAAGAGATAGAGGAAAAGAGGTTAGTCTATTGTAATTTGGTCTCTCCAAAAAAAAAAAAAAGAACTCGAATGATAGACGAAATATGTGATAAAATCATTTTTTTAAGTGAAAATCTGGGGGTCGCACGTTACGTGTGATCGCGCGTTGCATGAGGATATACAGCTAGGTCAAAAGATACTTGGCGTAATAAGAAAAAAAAAAAGAGAGACAATGAAAGAAGATGCTTAATTTGGTCAGTCAGTTATGTGCTATGCGTGATACACACTTAGGCGATTATGCTATGGTCCAGGTTAGGACCATGGAAGAACAGCATGAACACAAGAGTAGAAATAACGAAGGTATATTACACGAAATAATAATACAAGATGTGGGAAGGTGTTAGCGCGTCTGGTCTGAGTGAACTACTATCAGCTCGACTCGATTCGGTATCAAACCACGAGGGTTGCATGTGGCACAAGGCCGAGTTTAACGAGCTCGGCCAAAGAATGCCCGTAGAACCCGTAGAAACGGGATCGGGTTATCAACCTCACTGAACGAAACTCTGCCCTTCGGCGGACCTCGTCCTTCCTCTCTGCTCAGAGGCAGAGACCATCAAGCCGAAAGGGCTTGATTCGGTATCGATTTAGAGTTGCATGTGGCACAAAGGCCGAGTTTTTACGTGGGTTTCAGGCTCGGCGAAAAAAATGTATAACCCGTATAAACGAGATCGGGTTGATTCTCCCCGAACATTCTGCCCTTCGGTGGAACCTCGTCCGGGTTCCTTTCTGCTCAGAGGCAGAGAGTTCGACCGTCAAGTCGAGAAGCTCGGCTTGATTCAGTCCAGGGTTGCATGCGACACAAGGAATCGAGGGTTTCCTGAGCCCGTAGGCTCAGAAAAAATATGCCCGTATAACTCGTAATAACGAGATAGGAAATATTCACCCCGAACGAGATTCTGCCCTTCGGCGGAACCTCGTCCGGGTTCCTTTCTGCTCAAAAGCAGAGAGTTCGACCGTCCAAGTCGAGAAGCTCGGCTTGATTCAGTATCAAGCCATTGTGCGAAGGGTCATTTTTATCGTGGGTTTCCCTGAGCCCGTAGGCTCAGCCAAAATATGCCCGTATGACTCGTAAAAACGAGATCAGGGTAGGTCATTCACCCTGAACGAGATTCTGCCCTTCGGCGGAACCTCGTCCGTTCCCTTCTGCTCAAAGCAGAGAGTTCGACCGTCAAGTCGAGAAGCTCGGCTTGATTCGCCACCCCCCACGAGGGGTCGACACAAGGTCATTTTTATCGGGGTTTCCTGAGCCCGTAGGCTCAGCCAAAAATATGCCCGTATGACTAAAACGAGATCGGGTAGGGTCATTCACCCCGAACGAGATTCTGCCCTTCGGCGGAACCTCGTCCGGGTTCCTTTCGGTATTCGACCGTCAAGTCGAGAAGCTCGGCTTGATTCAGTATCCCACCCCCCACGAGGGTTGCATGCGACACAAGGTCATTTTTATCGTGGGTTTCCTGAGCCCGTAGGCTCAGCCAAAAAAATGCCCGTATAACTCGTAAAAACGAGATAGGGTAGGTCATTCACCCCGAACGAGATTCTGCCCTTCGGCGGAACCTCGTCCGGGTTCCTTTTCTGCTCAAGAGCAGAGAGTTCGACCGTCAGTCGAGAAGCTCGGCTTGATTCAGTATCTAGCCACCCCCCCACGAGGGTTGCATGCGACACAAGGTCATTTTTTTATCGTGGGTTTCCTGAGCCCGTAGGCTCAGCCAAAATATGCCCGTATGACTCGTAAAAAACGAGATCAGGGTAGAAAAGCATTCGCCCACGAACGAGATTCTGCCTTCGGCGGAACCTCGTCCGAAAAGCAGAGAGTTCGACCGTCAAGTCGAGAAGCATCGGCTTGATTCAGTATCGCCACACCCAGAGGGTTGCATGCGACACAAGGTCATTTTTATCGTGGGTTTCCTGAGCCCGTAGGCTCAGCCAAAAATATGCCCGTATGACTCGTCAAAACGAGATCGCCACCCCGAACGAGATTCTGCCTTCGGCGGAACTTCCGGGTTCCTTTCGCTTAAAAGCAGAAAGTTCGACCGTCAAGTCGAGAAGCCTGGCTTAATTCAGTATCTAACCAGATCGGGGTTTGGCGACACAAGGTCATTTTATCGTGGGTTTCCCCCGTGGCTCAGCCAAAAATATGCCCGTATGACCTGGTCATAAACGAGCCCTTCGGCGGAACTCGTCCGGGTTCCTTCTGCCAAAGAGGAGTTCGACCGTCAAGAAAAAGATCGGCTTGATTCAGTATCTAGCCACCCCCGAGGGCTTGCATGCGACACAAGGTCATTTTTATCTTTTCGCCCGTATGAACTGCCCTTCGGCGGAACCTCGTCCGGGTTCCCTTTCTGCTCAAAAAGCAGAGAGTTCGACCGTCAAGTCGAGCTCAGCCCCCCCACGAGGGTTGCATGCGACACAAGGTCATTTTTTCGAGAGCCTGGCCAAAAATGCCTGCATGATCAGGTAGGTCATTCACCCCGAACGAGTTCTGCCCTTCGGCGGAACCTCGTCCGGGTTCCCAGCCAAAATTCGCTAGCGAGGACCGTTCGAAAAGATCGGCTTGATTCAGTATCCGAGGGTCACACAAGGTCATTTTTATCGTGGGTTTCCTGAGCCCGTAGGCTCAGCCAAAAATATGCCCGTATGGTTGCATGCTGAAAAGCAGAGAGTTCGACCCGTCAAGTCGAAAAGTCATTTTTCATTGCGACACAAGGTTTTTTATCCCCGTGGCTCAGCCAAAATAGGACTCGTAAAAACGAGATCAGGGTAGGTCATTCAAAACGAGATTCTGCCCTTCGGCGGAACTCGTCCGTAAAAACGAGACCATCAGGTCGAAAAGATCGGCTTGATTCAGTTCATTTGCATGCGACCCCGAACGAGGGTTCCAAAAATATTCCCGTATGACTCGTAAAACGAGATAGGTGGGTCATGCTGCCTTCGGCGGAACCTCGTCCGGGTTCCTTTCTGCTCAAAAGCAGGCAGATCAAGTCGAGTTCGACCGTCATTCACACCGAGAAGTTTCGAGCCCGTAGGCTCAGCCAAAAATATGCCCGTATTTCTGTCGAGAAGAGATTCACCTCGAACGAGATTCCTTCGGCGGAACCTCGTCCGGGTTCCTTTCTGCTGAAAAGCAGAGAGTTCGACCGTCAAGTTCGGTTTGATTCGTCCCTCTCTCTTGAGGCGTAGTATATATAGTGTTAGGAAGAGTTCATTCTGCAGTTATAGGTAAGGACCCATGACAGTACCTATCGACACATGACTGACGAGGCAATTTTCTTCCCGAAATAGGTTGCCATTTCTTTCTGTGGTAGACCAGTTTGTCCTGCTATTTACCCATAGCTGGGAGAAGAAGAGGATTCATACCATTTCTCAAGGGTATTAGCATATAAGTGAATGTAATGGATTTGACTGGAAAGTCAATCAGTCAGTTATCTGCCAAGCGTGATACACGCTTAGGCGATCATCTACCTTTCGATACATGACTGACGAAGCAATTTTTTCCTGAAGTAGGTTGCCATTTCTTTCAGCGCCAGAACAGTTGCCATCCAAGGCTATAGTACCCAGTCCGTCCTGCTATTTACCCATATCTGGGGGGAGAAGAAGAGGATGCATACCTTTCCTAAGAGTATTAGCACGTAAGTGAATGGATTGCGACTGGAATTCGAACTAGGCTCTCCGATTTCACAATCCGATTCGCTAACCGTGCTTAATTAGGTAAGAATAAAAATAGTAAAAATAAAGTGCCCGCAAATATGTACTGTCGCTCTTCGGCATATAGCGGTTGTCACTTGTTCCTACTATTGCTGTTCAAAAGTAGCGAGATTCACCTTCTAAATTTACAGAAACTTTAAAAAAAAAACTGCAAATTGAATACAGATCGCAACCGATGAAAGATATAAATCTGTTCTGTCTGTAAATTGTTTCCTATTTCGTCAAACTGTTTCTTTTTGGCCGGCTATCAGGAAACGTTTATATTGTTAGCCTCTTATTTCGTCTGGCGAGACTCGCTCTAGCCCCATCCTCTCTCTATTTCTATATTTCTATCTATCTCTGTCCCCTCTTTCTCTCTCTGTGCCTCTCTCTCTCTCTCTCTCTCTCTCAACCTACCTCTATCTATCGCATTCTGACTCTCTACTTGTCTAATTTTCTTTCTTTCTCTTTTTCTGCATTTCACGAGATGTGTATAGTATAATCTTCTATCTTTTTCTATCACTCTTTACGTTTCTCCCTTTCTTTCTCTCTTTATTTATCTTGTTCCATCCTTTTCTCATGTCTTCCCTTTTCATTTACTCTCTTTCTCTTTAACTATCTATCTATCTATCTGCCGCTTTTTTGTGTGTCTGTTTTTCTTTCTTTCTTTCTTTCTTTCTTTCTTTCTTTCTTTCTTTCTTTCTTATTCTGTTTCCATCTCTGTATACTTGTATTTCTATCTATCTATCTATCTATCTATCTATCTATCTATCTATCTATCTCTATCGCTTTGTCTTGCCTCTTTCTCGTGTCTATTTTTCTTCCTTCCTTCCTTTCTTTCTGTCTATCTATCTATTGCTTTGCCTGCCTTTTTCTCGTACCTCTATATTTCTTCCTCCCGTTCTTTCTTTCTTTTTTCTATTTCTATCGCTTTATTTACCTCTTTCTCGTATCTCTATTTTAGTTCTTTCTTTCTTTCTTTCTTTCTATCTATCTATCTATCTATCTATCTATCTCTGTCACTTTCTTATCTCTCTATCTATTTTTCTTTGTTTCTCTCTTTTTGTCTTTCTTTGTTCTCTTTTTCTATTTTTATCTATCTATCTATCTATCTATCTATCTATCTATCTATCTATCACAGCATATTCCTATCTATCTATCTATCTATCTATCTATCTATCTATCACACTTTATATCACTTGCGCACCTCTCTCTCACTCTTTCTTTCTCTCTCTCTCTCTCAGTTTTTCTCTCAGACACAATGCGTGCCACCGAGTGACCAGTTCACTCACAAACGAGGCCATTACAGTGTAAGTCGTCGGCGTAGCCCCCCGCACGAACGTTTATTGACCACCCAGAAGCATATGGCGACGGGCCAGCAACCGAAATCAGTGCCGGCGGGGGGGGGTATTTCGAGCCGTTGTAACATTAATTAAGCGAGAAGAGGAACAAAGACAGAAAACTGGAAAAAAAAGAAACACTGTTTGAATTGTGGTTTTGCTCCTTTTCACTTGGTCTTCTTTTCGGCGAGATATTTTACGGCTATGGGGCTCCTTAAAAGCGGCACCACCCACTGCCGAACCCCCACTGCCGCACTGCTTCACGGCACACCCACCGATTCCGGTAGATAAAGTGGTCTTTAGCCTGTTTACGTTTGAAATTTTTTTTTTTTAAAGATAAACTTCGATTAAGTTTTGTCGAATGTCTTCTACTTCCGTTCCTCACGTTTTTATTTCTAGATTGTGGCTTTCTGGTTTTATCACCCGCGGGCTGTACACTCTCTCTCTCTCTCTCTCTCTCTCTCTCTATCTATCTATCTATCTATCTATCTGTCTATATCTCTATCTATCTGTCTATCTATCTATCTATCTAGCTAGCTAGCTAGCTAGCTATCTCTCTTTCTTTCTCTCTCTCTCTCTATCTATCTATCTATCTATCTATCTATCTATCTATCTTTCTCTCTCTCTCTCTATCTATCTATCTATCTCTTTTTTCTCTCTCTTTCTTTCTCTCTCTCTAACTATCTATCTATATATCTATCTATCTATCTATCTATCTATCTATCTATCTATCTATATATATGTATATATATATATATATATATATATATATATATTTCTCTCTGTCTATTTCTCTCTATATATCTGTTATCTATCTATATCTATCTATCTATCTATATATATATATATATATATATATATATATATATATATATATATATATATATATATATATATATATATATATATATATATATATATCGCTCTATCATTTTCTCTATATATTTTCTCTATCTCCCACACTATCTCTTTACTTCTACCACACTCTTTCTCTCTAACATTATTTCTCTCTCGTTCTGTCTCCCTCTCTTTACCTATCTATCTATCTACCTCTTTCTCTCTGTTTCACTCACTCTATCGCTTGATATCTTTCTCTCTTACTTTCTCTCTATCTATCGTTTTATCTCTTTCTCTCTATTTCTCACACACTATCTACCTACCTCGATTTCATCTCTCTCTATTTGTCTTCTTTCTATCTCTCTGTCTGTATGTTTGTCAGTCTCTCTCTCCCCCCCTCTCTCTCTCTATCTCTCTCTCTCTCTCTATCTATCTATCTATCTATCTGTCTTTTTCCTTCTCTCTTTCACTCCGTAATAACACACTATCTATTGCATTATCTCTTTTTCTCTCTCTCTCTCACTTTCTCTCTCTCTCTCGCTTTATCTCTGTCTCTCTCTCTCTCTCTCTCTTCCTTTCTATTTCTCTCACACTATCTGACTCACTCTATTTTCTTTCTTTCTTTCTATCTCACTCTCTCGGTATGTCTGTCTGCCTGTCTCTCTGTCTAATTGTTTATCTATCTGTTGCTCTCTCTCTCTCTGCACCTTTTTCACTTCTTTTTCTCTCTTTCTCTCTTTTTCTATTTCTATATATCACGCTTTACCGTCTTTGTCTTCCGCTTTCTATCTGCCTCATTGTTTCTATCTATCTATCTATTTCAGTCCATTTCATGCTGGTGAACTCTTCCGCCTACTATAAGATTAGTAGGAGAGAAGGCCTTAGGGGAACAGCCGAATAGATTGAACGCTGGGTCAACCAACACACACTCACTAGTTGTGTAATTCTCTTACTTGCTGTTGTACTTATTGTTTAACTAGCAGCAGAGTCCGGCGTTACCCGGGGATGTAACAGTAAGAGATTTATCAAGTATCGAATATCATAAAGACTGAAAAATAAAATTGACAAAGATTATTTGTTTAAGGTTGACGGACACGCATGTCTTAATTAGTTTTTTTTTTTGTTTTTTTTTACGAATTGGTCAAACCCAAACTCAAACAAAAACATTGTTTTCAATCTTTATGAGTCTATCGATTGAATAGAATTTTATTATAAACAGTTGTCTTGTAAATGGAATTTTTAAAGCATTCTGAATGTAAAAATAAAGAAAATAAGTGTGCAAGACCATAAGAAACACTACCTACCAAAAAAAAGTGAAGTTTTGTTGAAATCGGTTGAAAAATGTAGGAAATCCGATCCCATATATAAACACACACACACACAAACACAAACAACCAACCTGGGTTTTATAATAAGTATAACTCGAAGTGAGTTGTCCCCCTTTCATTAATGCCTCTTAATTGTGTTTTCAAATTAATTTCGTGCAAGAACAATTGTGTTTTTTTCCAATTTTTGGCGCTGTCAGAACCACCGCAAGGTAATTTTATGTAGTCCTGTGAAGTTTTGTTGAAATCGGTAGAAAAATGTAGGAAATCCGATCAAATATATAAACGTTACAGACACACACACACAATCTGCGTTTTATAATAAGTAAGATATATGATATATCTGCAACACTTGTTTTGTTATTTCGTTAACCATTTACTTGGTAACAATATCTAGGCAACGAGGATGAGATAATCTTATAGTAAGCGGAAGAGTTCGACATAGACTCTTTAGAGGGAGGACACCACAACACATATCTATCTCAATCTGTTCCTATCTTTTTTAGTAATGTTGACCATCTTCAATCCTTATTAGGAAAACACACGCACGCACACACACGCACACACACACACACACACACACACACACACATATATATATATATATATATATATATATATATATACTGGGTGTAACAGCAAAATTGTCCAAATTCTGTAAGAGCAAAATTGTCCGATTAAGCTTTGAACCATTGTATCTTAGAAATGATTAAAGATATCTTACTGGAATTCTCCGATGTTTTTAAAACACTATTGGACTCTACTCTGAGCAATAAGAATGTGTGTAGCTCTAAGTTGAAATGATAATCCCTCTTGCCGTTGTGACCTCCGGTGTTAACGGATACAGAACAATAAGTTACAAATCAATTAACAAGACAACTTACAAGGAATAAAGGAGGTTCAAATGCTGTATAGCCAAACGAAGTAAGATCAGTCCGAATATTAAACAGCTTAGTATCAAATTATTAATCAATTATTGACGCCCTTAATCGCAGTCTATTTAAGGCTATGAGCCAAGCCATTTGGTTATGCTGAAGGCGTGCTAGCTACTCTACAACATATATATATATATATATATATCCAAGTATATGATTGGTGTATACGGAATAAATTCCAATAACCAACAATTACTATTCTTAAAAGAGTGCTCAATACAGAGTAGAGCGAATATAATTATTTATTTAAAATTATAATATAAATAAATTATAAAATCACTACAAAATAGCCATTTTGTTTCAACAGCTCTGTTGTCTTATCAAGTGATGATGTTGTATGATTGTACATTTAACATCATTTGATAAGACACCAGAGGTCAAATGGCTATTTTTGTAGTGATTTTATAACATATTTATGTTGTAATTTTTTAAATAAATAATTATATATATATATATATATATATATATATATATATATATATATATTAGTTTTCATTAACTAACTATATATATATATATATATATATATATATATATATATATATATATATATATAGTTTTCATTAACTGAACTGTTTCTGTTCTGTCAGTTAATGTTATAACTCATTCGAATATTTATAGGAACTTTCCAAAATTTTCTTTTTTTGAGATGCTGAAAGCTAACAGCTTAAATAAAAGTTTGTCTCTTTTCTTCTCGTTATTTGTGCTAACCATTTTTGTTTATTGCTGCTCTTGGAAGTCTTCAGGTGATGTTTTACTTATTTATCATGAAACTCTTCGTTTGTGACCCTGTATCGTCTTTCTGTAAGGTCTTAAAGATGGCGGACCTTCTTTATGATTCATAGGATTCATTTCCTTCAAACCATGTTTTCATCGTTGATCTGAGGAAAAGGTTAGACTTATCAAAGTGCGATGCCGCCGTACGTCCGTCTGACAAAGTTATTGAAGAATCCAGCACGAATCTTCAAGTCAATATTTTTCCTTTTATAGCACCTTTCAATGCTGGAGAAAAGTACCCCGAACTTAAGGTATTTTATTACCTTATTTTTTGTGCTGATGCAAACAGCGAAATATTTTACACACCATCTATTGCATTATCTCTTTCTCTCTCATTAGAGAAACATTATTAATGAGGGGGGGATAAAGAGTAATAAGTGGAGGACATAGATAGCGATTGATATTTCATGTGTGTATGTGTATGTATGTGTGCGTGCGTGCGCGCGCGCGAGTGTGTGTGTGTGTGTGTGTTTCTTATCAACCTGTGAATGTTCTTTTGTTCGACAAGACCTTCCATAGAACCATTACTCTTCAGCGCTGGCTTACGGCCGCATCAAGTTGAAAAACAGTTTCTCGTGCGATCACAGAAGTTAAGCAACACCAATCCTGGTCAATACCTAGATGGGGAACCGCTTGGTAATACCAGGTGCTGTTAGCTTGGATGTGCAGTTGGTGCAATGGATAATGGTTTGGAATTGTTAATCGGAGAGCTGGTTTCAAAATCCCGTTAGGTTCATTATCTTCACTTAAGCAGAAATAGCATTCGTAAAGTTATGCATCCACTTCTTCTCCCCCAGCTATGGGTTAATTAGTAAAACTTGTATCATTAAACCGTTAGTATCCCCCAAAGCAATTCTTACAATCTAAAAATATTTTCTTGTTTAAAATAACCTTCAAGGGGTCGATAAACCGTAAAAAACGAATCAATGAAATTAGCTGCACAGGCATGTCTCTTAGATTGATTTACATTCTCTGGAATATAAATGTGTATAAAATACGTGGCCTTGAAGTCAGGGATCAGTTTATATAGTGATTATAATACATAATTGATCCCCCAATTTATAACCACATTATAATTGCCTCTTTGTTTATTAAGTTCAGATTAGATATGAATCCACCTCTTCTCCCTTCATCTACGGGTTAATTAGTAAGTCTTGTATCACTAAACCATTATTATCTCAAAAGAAAAATTCTTACAATCAAAATATTTTCTGGCTTCAAATAACCTTCAAAGGGGTTGATAAACCGTAGAAAATCAATCAACCAACCAACCAACCAACCAACTGCGCTGACTCAAATTCGTGTTGGTAATGGCGGATGTGACACGCTTGGACGATCATGTTTTTTTTTTATTTATTTATTTACTTATTATTCGCTTAATGAACCCGACTGGAGTTCGAACTTGGCTCTCCAACTCATCCCGAGTTGCTACCCATTACACTACTCGCATATCCAAGCACCTGGTATTCCCAAGCGGTCGCCCATCTAGCTATTCACCAGGATTGACGTTGCTTAAATTCGGCGATCGTACGGGGACCGGTATTTTAGCGTAATATGGGCGTAAACACTTTAAAAGCTTTATGATTAATAAATCAATCTTCGGAATATATACGGGGCTGAACTCGGCAGAATAAGAAGAGAAACATTACTAATGAGGGGGAAGATAAAAGAGTAATAATTGGAGGACGTAGATAGAGATTGATATTACATTTAAATGTTTGCAGATTGAAGTTGACTGGAACCAGAAGAGAGTTCCACAAGCGGAAGTGCGAGAAAAGAAACTGTTAGCATGAAACTTAGGGCTACATTTAGCCAGCTCAACTGTAAAATGATGAGATCTCGACGTCAGTTTAGTAATGCCCTTAAATAAAAAAAAAAAAGCTATGAGGTATTATAGCGAAGAGCGATATTTTTTTTTTTAAGCGTTTCACCCCAAGCGTTTCACCCCAAGCCACTAGGACGCAAGGGGTTACAGAGACTTGGAGCGAGAGCAAATAGGAATGATAGAGGAAAGGATGAAGAGAAGGATAGTGGATATATCAAGGCATCTGGAGACGTCGATTGACATTACATTTGAATAGTTGGAGATTATAGCTATCAGGGAAACAGGAAAAGGGGAGGGAGTTCCACAGGCGAGAGGTGCGAGACATGAAGCTAATGGAGTAGAAGAGACGGCTACATTTAACAGTTTCGACAGTGAAAGGATGAGAGCGGGATGCCAGCCTCGTAAGGCGCTTGAATTCATGAAGTCTGGGAACCAGCGAATGCACCTCCTCGGAGCAGTTACCATGAAAGTATTTTTTTTTTAAAAAAAAGACAGAGGGAGACGACGGACCAATTATGTTGCATATCCGTCTCTGGATCTTATCAAGAACCTTGAGACAAACAGAAGGGGCACCGGACCATATCTGGCAGCAATACTCTATTCAAGGGGGAATGGTTGATTTGTGGATATATTTATTCCGCTTATGTAAAGAAATGTGGCACAAGGCCAAAAAGGGGAATGGGGAAAAAGACGGTCTTCTGTCTTAACATTAAACTTAGCTAACCACGATCACTGACCGAAATATAACACAATATTCTTTACACCAAAACAACGCATTCTTACTTACCATTTTTACAACATCCACCATAATACCTCAGTGTCTCTATGAAAATTCTAACTAGCCCCCATTATGTATAATTCATGTCTGTGGTGAGAGGGGAATAAAATAACAATTTTACAAATCTAAACCCCAATGAATATTTATAAATATGAAATAAAATTATTTACAAGAAAATAAACAAAACCATAGCGAAGTGCTCATCTAAACAATTACCATGGAAGTATTTATAGAAAAGACACAGAGAGGCAATCTTACAGCGGTGGGGAAGTGACTGAAGCCGAGCCGCTAGATCAGGACCAATAATATTGCAGATTATTCTTTAGATTTTGTCAAGAAGTTCAAGGAAAATGGCAAGAGCACCGGACCATATGTAGCAGAAATATTCTAAGCATGGACAAATAGTAGACTTATAGATATATAAGATAGATTCTGGACAAAACAAAATTGTCTTGTACGACACAGTGAAAAAAACTTTCTTAGCAGCTGACCTATCAATGGATTCAGTACATTTTATTTCACTTCATGTCAGCTGAGAACGTTAGCCTTATTTAAACAAATTTTGTTAAATAGAATAGAAATTTGGGCTTAAATTATTTTTTTTTAGTTGTTTTATTAGGTTGGTGCAAAAATAATGACGTAAGAATGTCGTTTTTTGACGTTAAAAAATACGTCAAAAAACGACATTATTGTCATTATTTTTGCACCAACCTAATATTTAATACTGTATATCAGAATAGAAAATACGACAGCACTGGTATTCCCAAGCGCTCACCCTTTTAGTACGGGACAGTTGTGTAACTTCAGTTATTATACAGGAATCTGTGTTTCAGCGTGATGTGGCCAAATCCGGTAATAAATGTTAGGATTAGCGGAACCAAGGAATGTAGCTCGTCCGAGCACTTTCCATGTTAGTAGCGATAGATCAGTGAGAGACTTGGGACATCTCGTCTGTGAGAGAGAGGTAGTAGGCGGGGGGGGGGGGAATAATTTGTCACCCACAAAGACTTGGAAACGCTTTTGAACTCTATCAAGACAGGAAAATGAGAACTGGTCAGCTCCCGCCGAAATATGGCAACAGTACTCCATTTTCGTCCTTACCTGGCTCTTGTAAAAGTAGAGGATAGCATGTGGAGTCAGGTACTTACTGGAACGGTACAGGGAGCCGATCATTTTTCCTGCATCTTTAGCGATGGGTCGTATATACGACTTTCATTTGAAGATTGGTGTGAATTTAACGCGCAGTAGTTTCTCAAGGGGACATCCGTTCGTTATTTTTTCTGAATATTTTAAGTGTCACATAAAAGTAATAGATTTTATAATTAAAATATTTGTGATGTCACACGAATGCTGTGTTATATGTATCCTAATTAACGAAGTACATTCTAACTTGCGTGTTCCAAAATTATGAGTGATTTTATTATTTACTGCTTATTTTAATTTAATATAAATAGCTTGTAAAATTTGTAATCGTTTTCTTTCTCAGTTTGTTTTGCTAAAAGTATTATTTTTTTATTGAATTTTTTTTTCTGTTTTACTGTTTTGTGTTACCGTATTGCATTTTGTCTGAAATTATGGCAAATGACTCTGGAAGAGAAAACTTTTCAGCACTATAAAGTTCATTAACCTCCAAAGAGAATTCCTTGGGGCCCGTTTCCGCGAGTTGGTCATTGTCAATATATAAGAAAACTCGCAATCAGATCTATTTGTCCGAAGTTCGAGCCGATAGCGAAAATGAAAATAACGTATTATCTTTAAGCGTTTATGGTTGAATGCAAGATATAAAAAAAAAAAATAAATAAATAAATAACTGGTTGGTAAAAATAAAGCTGTCGGGCAAAGTTATTACCCCTGAAAATTCAGCCTGAAATTAGCTGAGAATAACGAAAGAGAATTGTTTGTTCGAGAAAGGCAAAAC